GAAAAAAAAAAAAAAAAAAAAGAGAAATGCCTTTCCTCCACAAGTATACAAAGAAGACTGCCGCAGCTTGGAAAGCTGACTAACAAAGTTAGGCAGAATATTACAGAAAAAACATCAAAATATAAACCTGAATAAATAGAACTCTCAAATATGCTAGCCTTTATAACACTCTATACTTGCTTGCTCTTAATCATACATTAAAACCAATTAATATTTATTACATGAGTCGAATGCAAGATAGTGTACCACATACTAATTAGTAAGCACATAAGATTCTTAGATCAACTTTGATAATATTAAAATAATAGTCCTTTAATTCTATAAATTGCTGCCACAACCTTAGGCAATACCATAATTACCTTTCACCATTCCTTTAACTTCCTTTCAATGTAGGATGATTTATTTACATAAACATACTTGCAGATAGACTTTGTACGTACCAAAATTCTACAAAGATACACTTCAAAGAATTAAAAAATCCTTTGAAATTTATATATTTTTCACTTTTTCAGAGTTCTACATTTTCACATGAAAATTAGATGAAAATGCAAGGAAAACAGAGGATGTTTTCTTAATGTTTTCACTACAGTTCTAGAGTGCCTTCTACATTAATTTAGCACATTTTACAATTAGTATTCTTCAACATTTATTAAAACTAATACCTTCATTTCCAACTGACGAACCCAAACTATATTATTGACAACTTCTGAAAGGTTTTTGCCAGAAAGTGGTCCAGATGCATCACCAGGAATTCCACGACATCGGTTTTCAAAATCTAATCGAAAGTCTATAAAATTTAAATCAAATAAATGATTACACACATTCAGCAAATATTTCCTAAATGCCTTCCATGTAACAAACACTATGCCAAATATTGTGAATAGAAAAATAGTAACAGTTGGTCCTTTACCCTCAGGGACCTCACCACACATCAAGTGAGAGAAAGAAAATAACCAGTTAATTCAAGAAACCTGTCATTTATTACAAAAATAGTAAATTAACCTTCAGCATACAGATGTCATAAAATATAATATCTTAATCCAAAGTGGTATACAACAAAGGAAAAAGCAATCTACAAAAATATTTTTTCAAGCAAACACTATAATCTCTGATAAACTTTTACCTTTAACTGAGTCCATAAGTCTTGCCAATAAAGTTTCTCTCTCTAGCATCAATTCTTTGCTTACGGTTGGACGCTTCACCAACTCTTTATATTTCAGAAATGCCTGAAGAAGCTAATATGAAATAAATAATTATATGTTCATCCCAAGTGAATCAACTAGGTAAAAACATGAGTATCTCCTCAAATAGCTTAAGGGAGATATTAGAAGTTAAATATTTCAATATTTTACCTGCTGTGGACTATCCTGAATTTCTGAAATATAATTTTTTAATTTTCCTGCTATTTTTTGTTCCACAGGCATGATAATTTTTTCATATTGAGACACTGCAGCTTTCCATAAAGGCTAAACAAATTAACAATATTGTTAGACTTTAATATTTTTAAAATCGGCCTTTAAAAAGAACAACACAAACAGGAAATTATATAGACAAACACATATATATTCAACCTCAGTATATGGATTATATTGCACAGGATTCAGGCCAGTAAAAGGTTCAAATACTCGAGTCAAGCATATGATTTTCTCATCACTGGCAGGTGAAAAATAGAGAAGTTTCTCACGAATTGTTCTAAGAGCCAAGACCTAAAAAAACATAAAATATTAAAACAACAAATTTATTTAAATCAATACATCAGCACAAATAGTCTAAAATCTAAAGATATTGGGCAAGAATTTCTTTAACCTAGATTCTCTGAAATGAACAATAAATCTGAACTGTAATCTTGGTAACTACTACTCATCAATAATCAAAGTGATACTCAAAGACATACTGCATCATCACACTACTATCAATCAGTGTGCTCAAATCTAGTTAACATATATAAAATCTAAGTATTTTTAAACTATGTTTAAAGCTCATTTAGGTAAAGTTTTAGAGTCTCTCCTTACTATAGTAAAAACTTCTGATTTCCATTATTCTGCCTTAAATTGCACTTCTAATAATGAAACAATATGTTAACAACTCCATTATGTATAATCTATGAACAGCTGGAAAACAATTTATTTCATTTTGTATTTAAAATTTCTACCAACCATCAAAAGGTAATCAAAAAGGCTAAGTAAAAATGCTATAATCTTCCATTTGAGTTGAAAATATCAGAACTCATGATTTATTTTTCTCTTGATAAAAACAAAAGTACCAATTTAACAATGCTGTCTACTGAGACAGCCTAAAAGCATTGATAATTAAATAATATTTACCACTTCCTCAACCAGATTGTTGTTGCTAAATACCATTTTCCACTAATAAGAACAAGGATCTTTGGAGAAATGACTAATTCCAGGTATGAAACAGAAAATGTAGATGGGTCAGTACATTTTGAGGGGCCAGAATATAAGGAAGTTATCAAAGAAATACTAGATGCATGTCAAAAATGACACAGAGCCAATGTAAAGGGGTACTCACTGTCCAACGATGGGACAATTTGAATATAGTAATAATAACTATGATAAAAACTACAATGGGTTGAAACTCATAAAATATAAAAAATCGTAGGTTCATAATGATACTATTAAAAAAGCATTTCATTGATTGCCTATGGAACTTACTGATACTAACTTATTGTTCATTGTACTAAAATGATAAGTAAAAACTAATTGTCTATACTACCATTCCTATACAAACTATATTTCAGGGTCACTAAAAAACTGATGAAGGCAAGTTCTTCCAACATCACTTAATAAATGCAGAAAGAACAACAGAATTAGAAAATCATCATTTTCCAACTCCTCATGATAAATCATTCAGAAAAAGCTGATGAAGAACATTATAACAGATGGATCAGGCTAATCATACATGAACCCACAGATCAAACTTAACTCATGAAAGTGGGAAAACCAGACATTACCTGCCTCCTCTAATGTATAAGAACTATATAGTACTGTCTGTGAAGCAACCTGGTTCAAGTAAACCAACATTTAGTAACTAAAAAAATTTCTGAAACAATCAGGAAGCTTGAATATTGATTAGATACATAATGATATTAAGAAATTATTGTCATTTTGTTGGGGGTGATATTGGTATTATGATTATGCTTTAAGGGTAAAAGTATAAGATTTCTTGGATTGGCTTTAAAAATACTCCAGCAAAAAAACGGAAAGCAGGGGAGACAAAGATGGAACAGGAACTGAACATTTTCAGTGGCTGCTGAAACTGAGTGATGGATACACTGACATCCACTATACTATGTTACTTTTGTGTATGCTTGAAATTTCTCATAATGAAAAGATTTAAAAACACAAAAACAGGAATTCCCTGTTGGTCCAGTGGTTGGGACTCGGCGCTTTCACTGCCTGGGCCTAGGTTCAGTCCCTAGTCTGGGAACTAAGATACCCCAAACTGCACAGCATGGCCAAAAAAAAAAATACAACAACAAAAAATCCCCAAGAACAATGGTTCCCTTAATCCCAAAGGGAAAAAGTCACTTTGCAATCTTCACATATTCTCATTTTGCCTGCCCCTTCAAGCTAAACATCTAAGTTCTATACTGAAACTCATAACTTATATAAATTAAGCAGCTGTTTCAAATATTTCCACTGAGTACTCCCTGAAAAGCTGTCTCCACTTGTAAAAATTTCAATAGCCAAGAGAAAGTCTGAGAGCTTCCATACCTAGACAAGTGGGTGGACTGTCTTTTTACAACAAAGAAGAACAAACTAAAAGTTCACAACTTACAAACTGAATAGCCACAAACCAAAAAAAAAAGAAAGGAAGTGGAAACCAGCACTTAGTACCCACTGGGCACCTGGTACTGTACCACACAACTTCATAAGTCATCTCATATGAAATTTACCTCCTATTCTCTCCCAAAAGTTTAAACAAGTTCTATCAGATGTGTAGGTCTTATTAATTATAAAACACATTCTCAAACAAGTGAGGACCTACTTCACACTTAAAACAAAGATCCAAATAATCAAATATACCTCTTCAAGGCGTTTGCCAAGTTTGTCAAGTGTTTCAGGAAAATATTTTTCATTTTTCCACAGATGAGGTACATAGCGCTGCCACACCTGACCTGTTAGATGACTACAGGCAATAACCCACTGTTCACAAATTGAAATCCCAGCTTTCATATTTTCCTTCACAAGATAATAAGGATCTTCCCATAGGTTCAAAGTTCCCAACTTTTTCTGAACAAATCTTCCAAAGGAGCCACCTAATAACACATAAAACAAACTTTTTAATGAACATATCTTTTTACCAAATAATTATGAAACATATGCTTTTTACAAAATTAAGATAATATACAAATTAGCAAACCAAGGATCTATGAAATACCACATCCACATCTTTAGACAGGCACTATTAATAACAAATATTTTTAAAAAACACACACATATTTGTATTTCTGCATCTTTCAATATATCACACATTTCTTTGAAGTATAGAAATATATACACATTTTTTTAAAGGCTGCAGAGCCCACAGTATGGGCATAGCATTACATAACCAATTCTCAATTGCTATTTGTTTCTAGTCTCATTTTACAAACAATGCTGTAATAAATATCCTTTTACATACACATTTATGTACTTGTCTAACATTTTCTTAGGATAATGAGAAAGGTATATTCTGGGTCAAAAAGTATACGTATTTTTAATGTCAACAGATAACCCAATGTATATTAAACTTTCCAGTTCATTACAAAATAAAGTCTAAATTAATACATAGATAGGGATGAAAATCTATGTTAATTTAGTTATATTATAGTCAAAGAATCTGACACTATGATTTAAATTAACCAACTATGTACAAATATCTACTTAAATAATCCTATATGATTTGCTCTAAGAGTTACTTTAAGCAACAATTACTGTATTCAGGAACATTTTAGGAAAAAACAGAAAACAAAATAAGGCTTCCAAAATTGCAAAAGTTTATTTCTTTACTAGTACCTATAATATCTAAGAGATGTAACATTCGTGACTCAGGATAATGATCATGTTCTGTCTGTCTCCACACATCATCTACAACATCCCGAGTTGTCTCCACCAAGTCAACCACTTCCAGTAAGGACAGACCATCCAAGTTATAAAACTCCTAAAACCAAAATGCATTCATTTTTAAACATAATCATATTTGTACCTTGGGCAATATAGTCAAAATGTTCTCAGACTTTTTCAAATGCTACATCTCTAATATCTGCCATATTATTTTCTCCTCTTCTTCTATCAGATGATATATTACTTCTTTAAGCAAATACCCTATAAGTTCCTTCACAAACATAAATTTCATGAAAGCCAGAAGGAAAAATAATAATTGCATAAACTCTATAAATTTATTTTTACCCTTGGCCTAACTTCCTTTAAATTCGGGACGTTTCTTTTATTTACCTAATAGAAATGGCCTTAACACCATATGTACACTACCCATTTCACCTCATATATCTTTATTGATTCATTTCCTGGGTTGCACAATGTTACCAATAATACAAACATAGTACATGGTATATCACTGCTAGGAAAAAAGTTTTAAACCATTTCAAACACTTCATTCAAATGATATTAATGAAATAATATTGGGAATGAATAAAAAATTACTAAATATTTATTTTGAAAATATTTATTTTGAAAAGAATAGATTTTGTAAAAAACACTCAAAATGGTCACTTATTTAACCTCTCCATAGATACACCAAGGAATAATCAATCTAATAAGTATCAAACTAAGACTTTTTATATTTCAGATTCCTCCAAAATGCTAATTTGAATAAAATAAACAATTTTTCCAAAGGACATATTACCTCCACAGGATAAACCTCTGTTAGTAGTAGGTTTCTGGTTTTTTCCTATCTACCTACAGGAAAGTAATTATGTTTTTGAGAAAAATATTTTCTAGGGATTAGAATTTAACTTTTTTAAAAGTTTGGACTTCTAAGTTGCACTCAGTTTAAATACATATCTTAAGTAAACCCTGCTACATCTGAAGAATATATTTTGTCCAGAACCATCAAGTAATGATTTTAAAACAGAGATAAATCTAGTAAAAATTGAATGCTAAGGTACTTCTATCAAAACCTGATATATAACTATGTATGAATCACGTACTCTTGCAATTGTTTCAAATAATTCTTTAAAATAACTGGCTCTTTCTTTACTAATCTGTTTACTTCCACGATGAGCTTGTTCTATCCAAAACTGGAACTCATCACTTGGTGTAATAATACCTGAAAAGTGAGAAGGAAAAATTAGAAATATCAACTGTTATCATGCTGATCATTTTGAAATGTAAAGAAATATTGAAACACTGTATTGTGCACCAGGAACTAACATAGTTTTTTAAGTCAGTTACACTTCAAAATCTCACAAACAAATAAACTCATAGAAAAAGAGATCAGATTGCTGGTTAACAGAGGTGGGGGTGGGGAGAGGGGGAATTGGATGAAGGTGCTCAAAAGGAACAAACTACTAGTTATAAGATAAATGAGTACTAAAGATATAATGTACAACATGATAAATATAATTAATACTGCTTTATGTTATATATGAAAGTTCTTAAGAGAATAAATGCTGAGATTTCTCCTCATAAGGAAAAAAAATTTTTTTTCTATTTCTTTAATTTTGTATCTATATGACATAATAGATGTTCACTAAACTTACTGTGAATATCATTTCATGATGTATATAAGTCAAATCATTATACTGTACACTTTAAACTTACACAGTGCTGTATGTCAATTATCTCAATAAAACTAGAAGAAAGAAAGGAAGGAAGGAAGGAAGGAAAAAAAAAAGAATAGAATCATTTGAAAATGAAAAGCCAGCAAGTCACTTGTTTCATTTGCTGATTTTGCACATTTCTGTATCCTTAAGGATGCACAGAAGATAATTTTTACAATTTCTATGAACAAAAACAAACTACAAAAACAACCCCAAAACAATTAACAAAATGGCAATCAGTACACACTTATCAATAATTACTTTAAATTGGCTGAATGGATACAAAAACAAAACCCATATATATGTTGCCTGCTAGAGACCTGCTTCAGATCTAAAGCCACACTCAGACTGAAAGGGGATGGGAAAACGTATTCCATGCAAATGGCAATCAAAAAGCAACACTTACATCAGATAAAAAAAAGACTTTAAAGACTATTACACATGATTTTGTGGTACAAACTTTCTGTATGGCTTTTCTTATAGTCCAACTAATTACTAAAAAGCATCCCTACAAGGATAAATAAAAACACTGCAAAAGGAATACTTGATGTCTTTTAACTTTTTTGGTTTTTTTTGCGATACGCGGGCCTCTCACTGTTGTGGCATCTCCCGTTGCAGAGCACAGGCTCTGGACGTGCAGGCTCAGCGGCCATGGCTCACAGGCCCAGCCGCTCC